ATTGATCATTCACATAACAGAAACACAATGGACCCAGGATGCTGCCCTGTGGAACACCACAAGAAATGTTCAAGGGGTCTGGGAAAGTTTCACCAACGTTGACAACTTGTTTCATGTTGGAAGGACGCCAGCAAACTGATCAAACATGTGTCAGTTGAATGGCTGCCCCTGAAGCCTGATTGTTGTTCATATAATAAATTATTGTCTTTCAAGTGAGTCTCCAGTTGTACATAAACAGCCTTTTCCAGAATCTTTGACACAATACTGAGAATGCTCGCATGCCTATAGTTGCTCAAAAGAAGAGAACTGGGTTTTTTTTATATAATGGTTTTACCCTAGCTAATTTTAGCTTATCCGGAACCGAATTCTCTGCAATGGATAAATTGATCAAAAATGTAATGGGTATTTTAAAGACATCAGCACCGTCATTTGGAAAGCGAACTGGAATGTCATCGAGACCTGTACTTTTGACAATATTAAGTGATAGGGGCTCCTTATATACACAATCTTCTGAAACATGATGCAGGCTAAAATTAAGACTGTGAGCATTACACAGTTCTGCTGACATAGAAATCTGACAAAAGTTTAGAAATATAATTATAAATAGAGGTAGGTATAGGTAACTGTCGAACTAGTGTTGAAGCGACAGTAGTGAAGAATCCATTAAAGAGATTAGCAACCGTTTTCTGGTCATGGATATTCGCACCATCATTGGATATTACAATATTACCTTTTTACCATTAATATTCTTATAGCCAAATTCTTTTAAACTTCTCCATACATTTTTGGGGTTATTTTTGTGTTCATTCAGTTTATTACTCAAATATGTACATTTTTCCCTTTTAACGACTCTCTGTGTATTATTTCTTACTTTACAAAAACTTTTGTAATCAAATTGATTTTTAGATTTTTTGAAACGTGCCAAAAGCGAATCCCTTTTAGAAATTAATTCCAAAATGGTGGATGACATACATGGCTCAGTCCTCTGTTTTAGTCTAACCTCTTTCACTGGAGCAACCGAATTTAAGATTTCCAAAAAAAAGTACTTTTAAAGCCCAACCACACTTCATTGACATGGCCTAAATTGAAACAAGTTTCCTAATTTCGAAAAGTTAGCTTATCTATAAATTCATCCCGATCATAATTTTTGAGAGATCGAATTTTTACAGTATTATGCAGATTTATAGGTATTTTTGTACACCTATATGGTCACTCAAACCCGAGTGGATTATTCCAGATTTCAAATTTTTTTCAGGAAAGTTACATATGATATGGTCGATAATGCTTTTGGTATTAGGAGTAATTCTGGTACAATCGGAGATGATTTGCGTAAAGTTATACAGTTTCAAAAGATCTAAGTAATTTTTACATTGGCTGCAGGGTTTCAGTCGTGGTAACGCATGTTTAGATCACCAAGAATAACAGTTTCATAGTCTGCTTTAAGATTTGAAAGGAGTTCTTTGAAAGAAGCTAGGAAATGATTATGGTTTGGAGGTCTGTACACAACACCCACTAGAAGAGGTTTTGATTTCGGCAACAGGAGATTGATAAATACAGATTCCTCATTAGTGTCACCTAGGTCAGTTCTATTAGTTGAAGCAAAGTCAGATCGGACATATAATCACACACCACCGCCATGACGGTTTCTGTCCTTTCTAATGATGTTGTAGTTCAAGATGTAAAAAAATTTCATTTGTAATACTAACCAAGTTTCACTAACAGCTATGGCCGCTGCATTAGCTTTCGAAGCAATGAGTCGGAGTTTAGGTAGGAGTGAGCGTGCATTTAGATGTATAACATGCAAGCCTTTCTTAGGTAAATCATCGAAGACAGAGTCAAAAATCACAGAATATTCACTATTTACATCACTACAGGAAGCCCTGGTATTGAAGAGAAAGTGTCTTTAATTCTGAATTTGACTTGTACAGTTTTCTACCTTGCAACCATAGCGTGAATGTAACAAACGGCCGCCATTGTGAAATTGCTCACTCTGGTTTACCGATGAAAAATGAGATTTAATGAAGTAACCAGGCTGAAAGCCACAAAAAGTCCATCCAATTCCCTGCACATCTCCACAATGCACATAGCGCACACACACTAACCTATTTGTGAAAAATGATGAAATGATGATGAATAAAATGAAATTGCCTCCTCCCATGACACTGACTTTCAATGAATAATAGATATGTTTAAACATGCATTATGCAAGAGCTAAATCTGCCTATTGCAGGTCTTTCTTTAGGCCTGAAATATTTTCTTAAGTATCAATTAGACATTAATTAACTGATCCAGGCCTTAATCAACTCTCGATGGCATCAGATTTCTCCGATATTAAATAGATTAGAATGGTTCGTTCGGCGATACTTTGATTTAATCAAATATGGAGGACCGAGACTTAGCTTCGATCAACCAGTACGGTGGTTGAAATTATTGCACATGTCTGTCAAACCTTCAAATGCTAACATCTTCGCTTGCAATAGAGTAATTTGAATGAAATTTTCAAATTATTTATTTTACATCATCTACTTTCGAACAATTATAGCAAGAATGGCTAGTTCTTTATCTAAATCTTACATAATGTATCATTAATAAACAAACGTATCACCAGCCAACCGATAAAAATGGATTTAAACATCAACAATGTCACCTTGCCGTGTTTAAAAAATCAGTTGATTGATTCATTCATACTTTGCAGTCAAAGATGTAACATAATTAAGTCGCACACTATTTGCAATACTTTGGTGATTAGTAGGACATGATTTCCGTCTTACCTACCAAATGTCAGTAATGACAAACACAAACAAATAAAGACGAATATGTCCGTAAAATGTCACGTTTACTTTCTTTACATTTGCAAAAAAATGTAGGGCTTGTATCATTAGAGACTAAAGTCCAGTGACTTTAATTACCCGTGATATTTCACAAAGAGGATGAAACTTATTCACTATTAAAGGCATTAAACCGTTAACTCTGGCATATTTTTTATTTCAAGGTTTTGCGATCTATTGAATATACTCTTAAAGGGTGGGGAGTGTCCGAATGGTTAGCACGTGTGCGTTGTATCATAAGGCCTGTCATTGAGTCAACTGGCGTGGTTTCGAATCCCCGGTTGTACGTGACAAGGAGTAGGGTCGCCTGTCCAACCTCGTGCGTTTTCCCCGGGTCCTCCGGTTTCCTCCCACTGCTACAGGCCCCTACGCGCAAGCGAATTATTGAAATAAAATTAAACCATATGTAAGGCCCGAAATGACCTAGTTTGTGTCGAGTGGACGTTAACCCCCCCCCCCCTCTCTCTTAACGGGTGTTTGTATTCCGGTGTTCCATTCATACATAGTATAGTACCTTTATTGTGGTCATGTAGGTCTAAAATGCATGGAAAGGGCAATAATTTGGGAAAGGCGCATTCTTTCGGTTAAAATAAAGTGATGAAATGGCTTTATCAAGTGTGTTACTTCTGTTAATAGTGCGACAGGCTCTTATATTAACATGTCGTTTCGATAGCTTTCGTTTTTGGGCCAAACTAATGAACCTAAAATCATATTTCTTGTTAACAACAGCAGTGTAAGCGACCACCTTACCCATTCACTGGGAAATACCTGCTCTTTGCCGACTTACCAAAAGGGATGATGCACGCGGCGCATATGTGTCACTGGGCAACGAGTTCCGCCGAGTCAACGGTCATAAAACAAGTTCTTACGGCAATACTATATACCAGAAAACTACCAGAAAACATCATGTTATACTGAATACCGGAAAACACCTGAAAAACACTAAATACCGGAAAACACACTAAATATCGGAAAACACCCTAAATAGGAAACCCATAGCCTGATTCGCTGTTTGCGGGGAGTTAGGGTTAGGTTTAAGAATTTGGGGGAGAGGTTAAGTCTCCACATAAGCACTGACCTAGGGTGATGAAATATTAGTTCGTGATATTTCCTAGTTTTATTAAATTCATACAATACATTAGGTTTATATACAAAGGTAATTTAACTGTTTTTTGGTGTTGGTGGCGATGATGGTCTTCCTTGGATGGTGCTTCTGGTATTCTTGTATTTTTGTTTCTGAAGAAAAAAGGAATAAATTTGGGGCTCTCGGGTGAGAGCCACATTAGTGGGTTTCCTACTAAGAATTGGATTTAAAAGAAGGGGCTAGGGATTCAGTATAACATGGTGTTTTCCGGTATATAGTATAGCCCGTTCTTTATTATTATTATTAGTAGAGGCCGGGATAAAGGTAAAGCACCAATGACAGACATCACAAAGCACAAACCCTTTCTATCCCGGGCCAATGTTCCTCTCGTACTAGAGTTTTATCACTGCGTCGTGTTCTTAGCTGTTTACAGTATATTATGGGATTTATGTCCCTCAAAACTACTGTCTATGGTAATTCCTTTCTTCCATAGTGCGTATTTTGAAAACAACGGGGGTAACAACGACAGACCCCATATCATACGGATGACCGGTGTTTGTTATCACAGTGACCACATAATATATTTTCCAAGATTAGTGACACCTTTGATCTCAGTCAGCCCTATTATACATAAATACAGGGGCATCGGTTAAAGGGTCGCTAAACTGGTAAACATTAGATTTGATATATACGATTGATTGCTTAGAATGTTTGCTTGCTTAATTTATGTGTCCCGGGACACAGTGCGGTCCGCCTACAGACATATGTACTATTAGATAAAGATAAACAAAAATAGTCATATTACTAGACAGATATAGATTTATCTAAAAGAACGTTGCTAAAAAAAAACGTTGAGATAATTTTGGAGTGTTTCTTTATTAGCTCAGTGTTTATTCAGACATGTAAAGTCTCAATTGAACTAGGTACCAATATCTGAGTGTGGGGGTTGGTAGGGGTTTCTGAGAAGCTCGGGAAGAGTTCTTTTCTGCAAGTGAATTTCAAAATAAGGCGATTTCGCGTATGCTTTGGATGTGGTATTAAATTTAATTACATGTATTTTCACAACATCATGGTAACTTTTGTTTTAGTATGCCAAGTGAAAAGAAACGTATCTGCATCATTGGGGCCGGAGCTTCCGGATTAGGCTGTTTGAGATACTTCACCGAGAATCAAGAGAGGTTTGACGTAGTGGCTTATGAACAAGGCTCAAGGATAGGCGGAACATGGATATATTCTGACCAACGTGGTAGTGATAAAAGTGGACAACCAATCCATAGTAGTATATACAAATCCCTAGTGTATGTTACTTAAATGTATTTTAATAAAACATTATTTTAATAGAGTTGCATTGTGCGCCAGATTGCAAACATAAAGTATTAAAATTGTAATGGACCAAACCCTTAATTTGGACATTCGGCCATTTTCAAATTTTGATATATCCAAATGACGGTTTTGTAAATTGTAGAATGAAAACGCTATGCTAATGGTGATTTTGTAAACTTGATAATGAAAACGTTATCCAAATGATGATTTCATATTTTTAGAATGAAAACGCTATATAAATGATTATTTTGTGAACTTGAGAATGATAACTGTTTACAAATAATGCTTTGTAAATTGGGACCATAATCATATTTTAACACTTTATATAGAGCAGAGTTATGAGTACTTTAGGCGCTCGATACTTAAGCTATCATGGAGGAACAAACTGTTGATAATATTACACCTATAGGCAGCTAAAAGAGGCAAATTTGATATCTTTAATTAATGGAAAGATTACATTTAGGAGACATAAATGCCACTCTCAAAATATCCTCAAAAATATACCAGTTAGATTATGGGCGAGGATTTAAGTAACTTTGTATGGATTTTCGTAAACAAAAATCATTAAATTTTATTATAAAATGATGTGTTATGTCATTAACTCGGAAATATTATCCTCAAAGGGTTTTTTTTCCATCAAGGTAGCTAACATCGTAATCTTCGCCTCACATTTTTCTTCGTTCATACTTATAGAGGGTCTGAATAGAAGTATCTAGCTTGTCGAATACAACCTAAATGTACATAAAAGAAGACCAGGTAGTTAAAAGTCAATTCGTAAAAAACTAATTTTATCGAGCAATATAGTTGTCTCTAAATAGTCAGTGCTTGTGCTTCATTAATTTTGTGAGTTTCAGGTTATTTTTAGTACATGATATTAATGACGCATTTTGTTACTTTTTTTTCGTCAGGGTGATAATTCCTCTGTTGTTATGATATTATTGCAACTTGTGCCCTGTGCATTGTAAGAAAACAAACACTTTTCAGATAGTATATTATTGAAAGTATAATAATAATAATAATAATATTGCGCAATATCCATGCATGAGCATTCTCAAAGCGCAGTCCAAAAATGATCACATCTGTCATAAAGTGAATGCTTTCTTAAACAAAAAGGTTTTAAGTCTGGATCTAAACACAGCAATATCAGGAGAGTTCTTTATTTCCAGTGGCAGATTATTCCACTCTGTTGGGGCCGAGTAGGAAAAGTCCTGTGATCAAAACGGATTGTTTTAGGCCTAGGCACTACAAGGAGTTTCTTATCTACTGATCTTAAGGTCCTTACCGGAGTATAGGATTGTAAGAGATCACTCAGGTATTTTGGGGCAGTACCATTTAAACATCGAAATGTATAACATAATTTTAAATCTCTAGTTTTGGTATGCCGATCAAACACAAAATACCAATACTAAATTATTTAAAAGTGCAAATATGTTAATGAAAATATTTTTTTTCCACAGAATAAATATTCCAAAACAGATTATGGCCTTCCCCGATTTCCAATTCGATTCCGACCTTCCAAGTTTTTTCGGCCATAGCGAGGTTTTAAAATATCTAGAGAAGTACACAGAACACTTCCGGTTGCTACCTTACATCTGGGTAACTACAATATATTTTGTTAAAATTGTTATAAAGTCACCCTTGCATCTTTTTGTTGTTAACTTTTCTGTTAAATAAGTTATATTGTCTGAAAGGTTTTATTTAATTCCATGTAAAATATTTATATTATTATTGGATTAATGCTTTGTTTATTTTAGTTTAATACAAGAGTATTAATGGTGAAACCTAAACATATCGGCGATGGTCTGTGGGGAACTAAATGGAATGTTAACATCGAACCATTGAATAACTCACACAACAGTCCATCATCGAATGATTTTGATGCTGTTATTGTCTGCACTGGGTAATTTTCTCTTACCATGGTTATTAGTTCCCATCTAATGGATTGTAAAAGCATCTTATGTCCAACGGGGGTGGTAGGGTGGCACTCTAGGGGATCGATGGCGATTTGTTTAAAAATTACTGTAAATAGTGCATTTTAGAGTATATCTCGATGTTTCTAAATCATGCCGACCCACTTCTTTGGCAGTAATTTTGGCAGACTGACCTACAATGTCGTTGCGATTGTAGAAATGACATGAACTCGCTTTTTGCGTCGATAAAAGACATTTTATACATTCGTCGTATAGCATGGGACTTGAGCAACTGTAGTTTATTTCTATTGGAGCAGATCCGTTCTGAACTTTCGGACCAATGGTCTAAGGCCATACACATTTAAAAAAATCAAATTCGTTTTAGATAGTTTTTATACAAATAGAATTGGTCGGTTCCATACATAGAGACCTTGAAGAGTCAAATGCAATAATAAAAAGGATTTTAGTTATTTTACTTTTGTTTTATCGTTGACCAAGTTGTACTTATTTAGATTAAACTAGTTTTTTTGGGTGGTGTGGATATCTTAATTACGCTGGGCTAGATATTTTGGACATGGGTTATCTAACTGTAATTGCCGCTTAATTTGCTGCGAGTTTTAATGCCGCACCTTTGTATCTGAAGACATATTTTGGGATGGTGTTTATTCGCTTTTGGTCAAAAAGAATATACATTAATGTTAGTTACACGACTAAGTGACAAAATTTCTTATCATGCTGTTTACAAGCAGATGAACAAGTAAAGCTCATTTACACTGCAGTCGTTTGAAAATATTGTACTAATCAAATTTGCTTTTAGCGCTATACTCGTCATTAATAACTCTTAATTACAGCCAACTTTTAACAGAGCTGGCATGTGATGAGCGCTTGTTAACGTGGGTGGCATGCTTCTTTATATCTTTAGCCAATATGCAGTACCAAACATACCTGATTACCCCGGCTTGAAGAAGTTTAAAGGAACTACCATTCATAGTCATTCCTATAGAAATCCAGAGATATTCAGAGATAAGTCGGTGCTTACCATTGGTGCCTCATTTTCGGGTTGGGATATAACCACAGAAGTTGCCTCATTAGCCCAATATGTCTACTTCAGTCACAGACGGGAGCACAAACTTAGGCATTTCCCAAAGAACGTTGAATTGGTAAGCAGTGTTGAAGCGTTCACTAAAAACGCGGTGATCTTAACAAACGGCAGACAGATTGCCATTGATGCTGTTGTTTTTAATACGGGGTATAGGCATAACTTTTCCTTCCTCTCGCCTGATTGTGGATTTGAAGTTACCCCGGACAACACCATTAGGCATTTATATAAGCATACCATAAATATCGCAAACCCCACTTTGTCTTTCATCAGTATACTCAACAACTCCTTGCCGTTTCCATGCATATCTATACTAGCCAGATTTTTCAAGGCTGTCTTAGAGGAACAGATTAAACTGCCTCCACGAAAGGAGATGCTTTTAGCTGAACAAGATGAGTTACAAAAACGTTTAGCTAGGAATTGGCCCCCAAGATATCTCCATAGGATGGAAGATTTTCAGTTTGAAATGTGTGATGAGATTGCAAATGAAATTGGTATCGAAACTCTTCCTCGCTGGATTAAAAAATTGTTTGATTATCACATTGTAAAATTATTTGAAAATATCCATACTGCTAAGAAATATAATTATAGAATAATTGAACCCGATAGTTTCGAAATAATACCATAAAAATTTCTTTGCGTTCAAAGGTGTTTATTAGAGAATTTTAATCTTTGACATAGTAACTACCTATTTTCATCACATTAGTCTGTTTATGTATGAACAAATATATCATAATAACATTTATTTATTTATAGCCCTACATTTTTCTTAAAAATTCGATGTGTTAAAGCAGGAACAAATCAGATAGTTCATTAATAATTTGAAATATGTGCACTGTTATAGATTAAAACACTGATTTCAATCTAATTGAGCAACTTCGAAAATGAATACCTCTATAAAGTATAGGCTGACTTGTATTAACTAGGGGTCATTTAATGTAAACTTTAAATGGATGTAATTAATTTATTTTATCAATCTTTGGATTTAAATGTGTAATCGATTTTACTATATCTGGCTACTTGTTCCTGTACGATTAAGATAATTATTTCCGAATGCACAAAGTTATTTGATAACATTGTGTTCATTATTATACATTTCCTTACTTTTACTCATATTTAGGATCAATGAAAATTAATTTGGTATGTACTTTGTTTTGATTTCACTAATATTTTAAATAAAACGCTTATTCAGTATAATGGGTTTTTTTTACTTTTTGTTTTTGAGGGGAGGGGGGGGATTAAATAATTTGAATGGAAAAGCCCATAAATGATTGTCTGCTCATCTTTTTACAAAACGAACGCTATATGTACAATGTACTATCATTAACTCGGAGGGGGGGGGGGGGGACATCCGATTGGTCTTTCTTCAAGGGCAGATTACACTAACATTAATAGCCTATCTAGTTCTTTATGAAACATGCCAACCAAACTAGATATTGAAAATCTCCATACCCAGTAGAGGCTAGATTGGATTGAAGATCTATTTACCAAGGCATGCGTAAAAAACATTATTTCTCCATACAGGTCACTTACTCGAATTGAACTCTCTAGGGGGTGTTTCGGGAGAAAAACAATATGAGGTGCACGCCCCATATGAACAGACCCTGCCGCGTCCCTGGGGTTTTGCCAAGGTGCCCGAAATTTTAATACATGGAAACTGGGGCCCCGGGCTATCGATCCTCTAGAAATCAATCGATTTTGGTCCATAGGGGCCAAGATATAGGGCCCGAACATGGCCCTTCGTTTCACGAAATCGCTGGAATACGGTCCCAAGAACTGGACCCCAACCTCGGTCCCTTTGGGCTCCGATGCCCCAAACGTACTATTTCAATCATTATTTTCTCTAATGATTTGAGTTCTTCCGGCGAACTTGGTGTCCTTGAAACTTTCTGCGGCGACCGGAAGTGGGTCTAAATGACACATAATGGTAGGGTGACCCATGCACTCTAAATAAATACAGTCCACCGCTGATAGTTCGAGACTACCACTGAAGCGTGCACATTCGCCGTGTCGAGACCAACTTTCTGACAGTATGATACTATAAATAGCCATGGCACGTGCAATTCTCTACAAATCGATCAACTATTACAGCCGTAAAAAAAATTATTGTTGACGATTTTGAATAGCAGTAAAATTAAGCTTCTTGGTTATTACAGCAGATTTAGAAATTACGTTCGTTTCATTTTTTAAATCGCTTTATCATTAACTGTACCGTTAAGAGCGGCATCTTTTGGTTTAGTACAAATAATATCTCTGAAACACTCGGGTTAGACAGGAACGTGATACTAGCAGTAGTTTCATTTTACTTTTACGAGCTTCTTAAAACAATTCTTGAGCTAGCTAACGTGCTTATTTCTAAATTCAATTTCTTGTTCTAGCTTTCTGTTTTGTTTCGTTAAAAAATAGTCTTGATTATCCCGACCTATCAATCAGACGTAGAATGGTCGATAGACTGGTTAAGCGAGACTAATTTCCAAACAAGGGCACGTAACCTATCTTTTACTCAAAAGTGTCTGGATGTTATGGACGACACTTGGAACCAGTTTTCAGTCTATTATTTATAGATGATTAATGGTCATAGCTTATTAAGTACAACATGATCGTTTATTTAGTGACTATAATTGTGTGAAACTGATTTGAGGCTTGGCATATATATAAATATTGTGGCGTAATTGTCGAGATATTTGGAGATATTCATTTATGGTGGGTCACCCTAATAATGGTCATTTACCTTGGACCTTGGCCACGCGACTCCTAGGCATAGACATACTAATAATATAGACTGATGACGTCATAATGGACTACCCCCCTCGATGACCGTTGCGCAATTGATTTCATTATAAAAGGCCTTGTTTATTAATCAAATATTCGTGATTTTTCTTCCATATTCTTGTAATTTTAATAAATATTTCTAAAAATGAAATACTTAGGATTTTTATACGCCCACATTTTCATGTGGACGCATATTGTCGTCGCCCCTGTCTGTCCACAGTGGTTTGTGGAGACACTTTACATGTCACAATTTTTATCCGATTTCAACGACACTTGAAATATAGGTTTATCTCCATAAGATCTCGTTTCCTTTCGATATTGGCATGTATCGGACCGTAACTTCATGGATTATGGCCCCTGATTGTACAAAATATCGCCGCCCCTCGAACGCAAACAGTGTAAAAATATGGTATATCAAGGTTGTGGACCCTCTAGAGCTTTGATGAAACTTGAAATACATGTTTATAACCCAAAGATCTTGGTTCCTTTCGAGGTCAGAATTATTATCCGATTTAAAAAAAAACGGGTGAATGTATCACCGTTACACCGTAATGATGGTTGAGTTCGAATTTCGTGAAAATCGGACCAAAACTGACGGACAAAATGGCCGCCCTTCGTATAACGCAAATGGTGTAAATATGTGCTATATCAAGGCTGTAGACCCTATAGAGGCCACAATTTGTTCCGATTTTGATGCAACCTTAAATTTATGCTTACATCACAATGATCTTGGTTCCTGTCGATATTCGCGCATATCGGATCGTAGCTTCCTGAATTATGGCCCTTGATGTTACGAAAAATCGCGTTTTGTTTAGCTTGTTCTCTATCCATCTCTTGAAAAATGTGGGAGTATCCTGCCTGGCAGCCACTGGTTCTTATTATTTCAATTAAAATTTTGATTTTTGGGCGTTAAAATATTCCAGTCATTCTAATCATGCGCATAAAATGTATTTCACGATAATTCCGTTTTCTTTATTATAATTATTATTTTCTCGATGTTTACTTTTTATGGATTATTTTCTTTGTAGAACTATATTCTGAATTAAATTTGCACATTGTTACTTACTGAGATAACTTTATGGGTCCGCGACAGTTATAGTATACCTTAATCAAAAGGGGTGGCGAGACGGAACTTTTGTTCTACTCAACTACATTGAATAAAAAGTTGTGTTTCTGCTGGGACAATATATACGCCTGCTTCAATGTTCTCTGGGACACTCATTGTTTTTAGAATTATCTGTACAGGTATATCTCTCAAAAATAACAACAACAAAAAAAAAACACCACGGTTCATCATATTATTCCAGTGGTGGGAGAGCTCTCGGCCCTCGAACCAAGCGAGTCCACCAGGTATTATATGATAAAATTTTCATTGACAATCCTGTCAAAGGCCTGTTTTTATGTACGTGTTTTCGCCAGTTAAAAGGACAGGTCCCATCACATTTGCATGAAGCCCGTTTTCCATGTACTCGTTTTTAGCTACGTAATGGAAACGGACCCATTGTAGTAGGGTGAATTTGGACTAAATAGTAAATGTTTAATACATCGTGCTAATCTACACAGTATTACTTAATTCAGTAAACTTTATTTTAATGGTTCTTAATCCACCTTAATTAGCCCCCATTTATATTGTCTTATACATTTGCTTAATCACCTGTCTCCAGTATTCTTTGTTTTACACTTTAAATTGATCTTATGAATTGTAATTAACGTCTAGTTTTCGTTACCATGGTATATCGTTTTTCATCCTCGGGTCTCCCCAGTGGTCTCATTTCGTTCTACTCCACTAACCCTTGGATTAATTTATAGGGGAGACACGTTTTCAAGTTATCCGCCATTGATGATTGTGTTATTTTTATCGACCAATCCCATATATCGTTAATTTCAAAGGTAAGTAACTCTCGTCGGGTAAAGAAAGCCACACGCAAAGGCTCCCCTTCAAGAGACACGATTAGGAATTAGCCAGGAGGTAGCCTAAATGGGAGATTCCAAATTATACTAAATGCGTATTTATGAACAACAAATTACAATTATTATATACTAAGTAGCACAAGAAACGTCAGGTTGGTATGTTACTCTGAATAGATGCATTACATAAAACTTGCCAAATGTTTTATTGTATATTTGTGACATCTCCCACTTTACCTGAGCATTAACATCCAATACTAACTCAACCCACAACACACCTCGCACCATAACATACTTCACTTCGCCCCATAACACACTTCGCCCCATAACACATTTCATCCCACCACATATTTTTCCCCGTTTAACCCATTTTTGATAATCTCGGTCAATTATTCCGTACATAAGGCTTTGAACTTTTATATATTATGTTCCCATTTTGGAGTATCTTCGTGGTTTCAGTCCCGATAAATTAACCCCTATAATTCTAGCTAAATTTTAATGCCCCAGATTAAAACGGGCATAATGGTTATTATAGATGACTACCCAAATTCCAAATTGCTTTGCAAACTGTCTTTGATCGCACACCGGTAATCCCCTATTGGATGTTAATAAAGTTCATATTGTTGTCATTGTCTTAGTTTTGATATTCGTGAAATGATTCCGGAGCAGAAGCACTGTGCCCGCATTACTTACATCTACATGTAAAGGCAAGGCGGTAATTCAGGGGAAACTATACTATTCACTGAGTTACCGGCCCTTGCCGTAAGATGGAAGTGTCCCAACTGTTACTTTGTATGAAACACTTGGGGACATGTGAAAGGCACGAGTAGTCATACGAGGTCGTCCGCATGCCTCTTAAGTAGAATACAGTGGGTTAAAGGGGAGTTGTGTTTTGCCTATAGGACTCCTCACAGTGGGAGCACTGTGCCTGCAATACTTCTATAGGCAAGGTGGTAATTCAGAGAAAAGTATACTATTTGCCAACGAGGGGCGGCCATTTTGTCCGTCAGTTTCGGTCCGATTTTTACGAAATTTGAACTCAACCATTCTTAGGGTGTAACGGTGATATATCCAATCGGATAAAACATGTGACCTCTATGGGATCCACATGCTAAACACGCGATTTTTCGTACAATCAGGGGCCATAATTCAGGAAGTTATGGTTCGATATGCGCGAATATCGAAAGGAACCGAGATCTGTGTTTTATAAACATACATTTCAAGTTTAAACCAAATCGGATAAAAATTGTGACCTCTACAGTGTTCACAAGCTAAATACGTGATTTTTCGTACAATCAGGGGCGATAATCCATGAGGTTACAGTCCGATACATGCCAATATCGAAAGGAATCGAGATCTTAGGGTGATAAACCTATATTTCAATTTTCATAGAAATCGGAAAAAAATATTGTGACCTGTAGAGTGTTCACCAAAAAAATGTAGGCGTATAAAAAATTAGAAAAAATAATGACTGAATTAGAATCCACTTCCGGTCAGGCCCAGAGGTCTTTTGGTGCAACATAGCTCGAATTTACCTACTATTGGCCGTCGGGAGTGAATTCTGATATACTTCAAGAATACCAAGCCCCCCCCCCACCCCCGGGACGCGGCATGGTCCCAAACATGGCTCGTCAGGCCATCCGGATTACGCCTAAGGCCACATCTCTGTTCCTATGGGGCGTTCACCCTAGATATTTTAGGGGAGACATGAACTAGGGGTTCGGAAAAAAGTGGGCATGCACCCCTCAGGTAGACTAATTTATAACTATTAATATTAGACCTACAACTCTTACTTGGCATAGGTAATTAGATGTGAACTGAGGCTTGTCACGAGGAATCGACCTGAAATATTTGACTCGACTTGTGGGGGAATGTGAAGAGGGGTTGCTTCTTCTTAAAACGAGTCTAAACCTAGCCCCCACCTCCACCACCGCCACACACATACACACACACCAATAGGCCTAATTTGGAAATATTTATTCCAGGGCAGAAGGGCGGTTACAGGAACCCCATTTTGGTTCGCTAAACGTGTGATGATCAAATGAAAGGCTTCTGCACAAACTCATAGGCCGTTGTTTTGATTGGCCTACTTTACCAACCCTTCTTCTTGCCTTTTCAAGAGTAATAAATTATAATTTAATTTATGAAATTATTAACTTAACCATTTTGAACAGCAATGATTAAATAGTGTATTCTGCTCTTCAAGAAAGGCGAATCAGATGAAAAATAATTAGTCTTCACGTCATGCATTACATTTGACATTTTCTCCAGTGCTACGAAAATACAAATAAAACGATATACTATTTACTTTCCATAGCCTAAAATGGACACACACATTACAAACGGGTAACTGATTTTGTGGCTATAAGATTTTACTATGTTGCATGGGAAGTGAATTAAATTTAGAATAAAATTCCAATTTGCAACCCACGGTGCGTAAACTGCAGATTTTAGGCCCTCGCTCTAGTTGGGTGACAAAGCATCGTGTACCCGAATAAGAGAATTTAACCATGTGTTAAGTTACATTCTTTTCAAAACTCATTGGACATCGGTATGATCTAAATTACTATTAAAAGGAAGTTAGAACATTACAGGGGTAAAGCAATAAATTTCAGAGCGATCAATCGATATTAATTCCCTGGGATTCCTGGGAACATTCTCGACTACTTACGAGTTTATACACATGTATATAGATATGAAATCCGATATATTATCCAAGGGCTAAATCTTTATTTAGGCTTGAGATGTTATAGAAATTATTAATTAGACCTTTATTTACACGACAAGATCAAAATCAACTCTGTAGACCCACGGATGGCTTGGATACAATTTGGATTTAAATAGTCGTCCATTTAAAATTAAATTAATAAATGGCGGACCAAGCTAAGGTTTACCGTTAGTCGCTGATGTCTATGCCGGAAACTGGTGATGAAAGCGAAGCTACCATAGCCATTGAGCATATTACTTGATAATTGAGAATATGTGGGTGGAGTTATCGTCTGTCAATCAAACGATCGCATGATAACTGCTAATAATATACATAGAAACAAAAGAAAAATAATGAAATATAGAATTTATTTTATTCAGCCCAAACATACGGCCACCCAAAACTCAGAACAGAATTCTAAGGGTATTTCGTGGTAATTAGCTTTGCCTGAAAGATAAACTTGGGCATAAAACGTCCCTGCTACTCCTCCACATATATTTACATCATAAAACCCGTCCAAAGTTTCACATATTTTGGTCATATCTTCGAGAAACTTTATCTCACAGTGGTCGCGACTTCTATGGAACTTGCTCCCCTTAAAAAAAATACAAAACATTTTTAAACACTAAATCTTATTCACACCGAAAGATATAAGAAAGTAGGCTATCAATCTGTTTTCGGCTAGTTACCGTGGACTTTGGAAAAAAACCCGTGATATATTTAATCTTATTGTATATTTTGATGTAGAAAAGGGGTAGTTCATTTGAAAAATATGACACAGTGGGCAAGTCCCCGTGTAATTGTATATTTTAACTATTTATAGTATTCGTTCTCTCCATATTTACTGACACGTTGGTCAGTAAACTATGGTGAATATTCCTAGCTTCAGTGGTCAACCTGACTATTGCTCTTCCTGTGGTGGAGAGGGTTCAAGAAAACAAAAAGTTGTGGAAAAGTTAGAGCCGAAACTTTTACGATGGTCTGCCTCCAAGGTAATAGGATTCAGATATTGGAGTTGTCTACCTTCCATTACACATATACAGTGAAATTGAACAATTCTCCAATCAGACAAAAGGTGAAATGTGGTAGATATGCCTTGAAACGCCCTAGTCAACTAGCAATTTGTTTCCTGTCCTCGGCCAACAAATTATCTCCTAAACGGCCAAATAAAACGACATTGGTCCACATGTCGTTCTGGTGGTGATTGCTATTTGTGATTGGCTGAAAGTAAATTTGCTTCCACTCTTTTGTTACCAGTAGGTTACACGCAGAGGTGGGGTTGTTTTTGTTGTTTTTTTTATGTTCATGTCACTTCCTGATTTAAAAAAACTAATTGATTTTGTTACACCATACAATCACATGTGCCCTACACATCTTTTGTACAATGAGTCGAATGGCTTGATTTACTTACACATTTATAGCAAATATCGTGTCTAGTGCAAGCTGGAGAAAAGGCATCCGTGTAACTTTGCTGAATCACTCGTTGGTTTAATACAGGCGGGTGACACTCTGTAATTCCAAAAGTTTTGTTCGAACACTTATCATGATTTGGGGTATTATTGATTGGTGAAACTGTGGGTTGTGGTTGTGTGGTGTTTCCTGACAGTGGTATCATTCCTGCAATGCTACATTGAAGTGCCATTATCACAAGTAGAGCTACCGACAGAGCCTGGAAGGAAAATGTAATAATAAAATATACAGAACATAGTGTTCAATTTCTTTAATTCAATATTGTACTTAAATACAGAACCAGTGAGATCGCTAACATATATCTCAAACTCGCAAATATGTACTATGTTAATTTTAAACTCACAGATATTTTCTATGTTAATTTCGTGACTGTTATTATGTAATTAAATACATCCACATGTAAAGATTCGGCTGTAATAAAAAAAATTAAATTGAACTTAAAATGATCTTACTTAAAGGCACCAACCAGCCAGATCTTTGATACGGAAAATTATATTTCAAAGTTAAAAACAAGTTCTGTATTTCAATATCTCAAGTAAACATTAACTGCGTGGCCATAGAAGTGATAGATTTTTTTAAGTAATATTTTTATTCAGATTTGGACCAAACTATTTTCGAATTGTATGTGGTCTTAAACTCTATATTTAGCCTTTATTCTAACATCTTGGGGCTGTAATCTTAGTGTATAAAAGTAAATAAATAAATTGTTTGTAAGGCATGAGAATGACTGTACTTATTAGTGTTGCGTGTGTAACAATTGTAAGTTTAGGTATGGCTTGGATATAATAACCGATTACTATAATTATTACCTCTAAACTTAGTTATTTCCATTAATACATTACTAAAATTTTACTATGTGTCATCTTGTTTGCATTGTATGCTGGTTATAAGAAACCAGTGGGCAATTTGAAATAAAAACCTGTCTCGGTACAAAGGTAGTGCTGTAGTTTGATCAAAAGCTCTAGTGGTGAAGTTTGGACACTTCCTGGATTTGAAAATCAAGAGTTAGGGCCATACAAGAATCGGAATTTCACAGCCACAATTCCCATTCGTCGAAATAAAGTCATATGGGATTTTAGCACTATTTGCTTAAACATACATTATGCAAGAGCTAAATCTGTCTATTACAGGTCTTTCTTTATTAATTAGACATTAATTAACCTATCCAGACCATAATCAACTCTAGATGGTTATGCTAGCCTGCGATCCTTAGTGGATTATGAGCCGATTTACTGCATAACTTTCTTTCACGATTAAACGATTAAATGGATAATCGAGACTATGCTGTTTATCGTACTGACTTTAGTAATGATGATCGAGGCTAGGCAGAAATTTCAACCGCTTAGTTCTCGGTTCATAGTCGATCAATTTGAATGAAATTTTCAACAAATTGCCTTTACATTATCTAGTTTTTAACTATTATAGTGAGAACTGCCAACTCGTTATTGAATCTTCCATGATGTATCTTTAAGGAATCTTAACAGTAACTTATTTAAGCAAACATTTGCTTAAGGAATCTTAACAGTAACTCATTTAAGGTATTCCAGCGTTCAGTTCTAATTGTACGAGGGGTGCATCGCCAAAACTCAAACAATCTGGTCGTGTTGTTAGAAAAATATCTCGGCATGTGCAAAACATGAATTCCGCGAGCTATAATAGTATGAATTGAACAACTATATCATTATTAATTGTCTAATCACTGTCTAATATTTTCGCCACAGGGGTATCATCAGGGCATAATATAACAATATTAACAATGGTTTTCCATTAGTTCCCTTTTCGTGATGTCATCGGCTTTCATTTTATAAAAAGGGAAAATTTGGAATTTTACTTGTAGGTGTTGTGCACATCTAAAGATATGTCTATTTACAAATAAGGGCTGATTTTCAATATTACAATCCCGTCGATGGTTGCGTACTTTATCCCGTAGATGCGTAACCGTCTCCCCGATGTAAAAAAATTGACAACCATTGCATGTCAAGACATATTTAGATTTTTTGTATCACAATTCATATTGTCGTTGACACTAAAAGTAAAGATATAAAAATTATATTTGTTATTTGGCGTAATATGGTCGCATCATTTACGTCTATTGTCATAATATGTATATTGTTAATGAGTTACTCGGGTGGTATATTATTACTCATAGTATAATGAGTTACTCGGGTGGTAATTAATCTGTTTAGCATGTGACCCCAGGTCCACTTATCTTGTATATCTCACTCTTCTGGAAGACACGCTTCGATCAACATCTAATTGTAAGACTTGCATGATCCATTAATAAACATTAAACTTGTGAGTTGTTAAGGAGTTTATCAAGTATCAAGAAGCATAACATCGACGATCCGGGCATTTAGATACATATAGTGCAGTCAAACAGCAGGGTCGTTACTGAAGACGAACCACGGTCTGGTCATCCAAGATAAAGTTGATGCTTTTCTCGAAACAATAACGCAGTTTACTATTGCTCAAGGCAATAGTAAATCATCAGAGGAACCAATAATCCATGAACAATGATTCTACCCGTCGGTGTTTGCCCAGAATGTTGACGGAAGAACAAAAACGCCAGAGAGTCGTGGTTTAGTCAGCAGAATCTCTGGGACTATCGGGGAGATCCACGTGCTTTCTTGGGTCATATTGTTACTCGGGATGAAACTTGGGTTCATCATTTTGACCCAGAGACAAACTGTCAAATATACCGTGGAAGCACGTGACGTCACCAACTCCCAAAAAATAAATTCGAAATAATGTCTTCCAGTGGCACGGTAATGGCCCCCGCAATCATGATGGATTATCTAAAGAAGGATTCCACCATAAATGGTTCAGATAACCCAGATGAATTATAGACACAAATATCCCTGCAATTGTGGATAGAAATACGGCGTTTGAGGCCCATAGACATTTAAGAAAATGTTGTTAAAAATCAAATTGATTGGTGGCGTCTTGTTGATTCTTACGCGAATAGATATAACTTAAATAAAGCACAAATACCACATCTCGTCAATAATGGAACCCTGGTTTTCATCCCATTAGATTGGGCCAATTGTCTGAATTAATTTTTCATTAACCATTCACAACTGGACAGAGCAAACACTTGACCATGTTAACTAAGCCGAAAGAAGTTGAAGACACCATAAACTCATTAGATCCACCAAAAGCAGTCGGTCCTGATCAAATTAATGGTAAACTACTAAAATGTATGCCTAAAGAAATATCTAGTTCCTTATGTCAGTTATTTACTCTATCATTCTTTACTAAACGCGGACACGACTAAAGTCACAGCAAGTCTTATACAGGGAGTTCAGACCAGTGTCGCTTCTGAGTGTTATCGCTAAGCATTTTGAAAACTGTATCTACAAACACGTCTTCAAATTCCCTTGGAAAATGCAATCTTAACTAAGCTTAAAGTTATAATTTCATATTTTCTAAGAAAGTCAAAACATAATTATTTCTATGTCTTTTGCTCAATAGGTTGTCAACTCACTATTATACGATCATAGGTGTCATTCTCACACTTAAACTCATTTACACCGGAAATAATAACACAATTACCTCCCTTGTTTTCTATTCTCCATCATGGAGTAGCTATCTTCAAACGTTTGAATTTGAAAAAGAAAATTATATTTTTGCCAATTTCTCAACTGGCAATAGTGAATTATAAGATTAATAGGATCATTCTTTAACAAGGTAGGACTGTTTATAGATACCATCGCTTTTAAGGCTTTATTTTAATAAATTTTAAAAATATAACTTAAAAATATGAAATTGCAACTTTAAAGCGGTTTTCTCGCAGGAGATTCTATTAATAGATATTTTGCACTTTCTTTTGTCAATCCACAGAACAGGGCTATTATACTACGGCGGTGTTCTGTGGCATCAACAATGCTTTCGAAGGGTGTGGCATGCAGCGCTCTGTTGGAGGCTGGTACAAGGGGAGATCTAGTCTAATGGTTTGAAAGTTACTTACATAGAAAACAAAGTGTAATCCCAGGCATTGTCTTCTCTAGTGCCCAAACCATTCCAGCTGGTGTTCAGCAGGGATCTGTCCTGGGACCACTTCTATTTCTCATATACATCAGAGATATTGTTAAAAATTACAATATAAGACTTTTTTGCAGATGACACTAGCCTTTATCTCGAAGTATATGACACACTTGCCTGCGCGGACACTTTAAACAAAGACTTGAATAACATCTCTAAACACATAGCTATGGTCCTTTTCAGCCCGTTCCAAACTGAAACACTTGCATTTTCTACTAAAAGAGATCCGATTTTACAAACACTACACCTCGACAAGGCCGGTTAATGAAGTTACCGAAGACAAACATATAGTACTGACATTTCAGAGAAACTCTAAATGGGATAAACATGTAAATAATATTATAATATAAACAAGTTAATTGTCTAAAGTCTTTTAATTATCGTCCTTCTAGAAATACTTTGACTATTGTGACGAAATATGGGATGGGTGCATCGTAGAGCTAAAGCAAAAGTTGAAAACCTTACAACTAGACATACTCGGGATTATATGCGGAGCAGTAAAAGGGCCAGCCACAAACTTGTATATGAAGAAACTGGTTTCATTCCACAGCACGAGAGACGGAGGAGACACAAACTTATTTTAATGTACAAGATTATACATAATATGACCCTCAACTATCTCTCTGATTTAATTAAATTTCCATCCTCTTCTTACAATCTGCGATCTGGCATTTTTTAGAAAAAACTAAATGAATATTTCTGTCACACATCAACCTTTCCAAAATCCGTTATCCCCTCAACAATAAACGGATGCAATAAACTAGACCCCACCTTTATCAATACAAGCTCATTTAGAGATTTTTAAAACAAACTACAAATAGATACCAAGATTGTCCACATATTTTTTTTTCATTTCGGAAGCTGAAATAACCAAATTATACATAGCCGCATAAATATTTAAGACACGTCTTTGACAATCCAGTGGATACCGAACATTACTTATTACACTGTTCTTTACATTCAGATGCTCGCAAATGATCCATATATCTCTTGTCCCCAGTTTTTATTTCATCACAAACTTTACTTCATGGCACAAACGAAATTTTTGAAATGGTCCATACATTTTATTTATTTTTTTTTTTTGACATCTCAAAAAGACTTTAAGGCTGTGATATCCGAAGAAAACTAATCTTCCTCAAACTTATAATAAAAAATATACTAATTACATACGTTTGTAAACACTGCAAAACCTTGTTAATCCATAGAATTCAAACCATATATACTACACTTTATCCATTTGTACAAAAAGTTTACTATTGTAGCTGTCTGGGTACATACATATGTATTTGTAGCTCGGTCGCTCCCATTAATGTACAATTAACCTATAAAGTAACCCCTTTTTCATATTAATCCTTTGACAATAATTTAGTGAGTATGTTGCCACAGTTAACAAATACATATAGGTAACATCTAAAGAGCCCACCTTGTGTAACTCCATATCATAAAGTCCAAAATATGTGACCGTTTTGAGAAAGTTCTGCTACGCAAACCTCTCCCCAAGCATCTTTCTTTTGATTTTATACGGGACTTCTGCAGATAGGTCTCCACGATATCAATACACATCTGCAAGCAGCTGTTACTTTAACATAAAAGACTTGATTGATTATTTTTAAGAAAGTAAAGCCTTAAAATGGGGCGAAACCAGCTGGCGTTATTTTGCAATTTAAATCTTCGCCATACAAGCAAATAACACCTGTATATGTTCAGAATACAATTATTATTGATTCAACCCTTTCAACCTCCCATTTATAAAATTAAATATTTTTTGTAAACCCACTGATCAATAATGACCCAGATGGAAACATGACATTTGTAATAAAGAAGTAAACAATCCCGACCTATTTTATTTTAAATAAAGATGGGTTGCCAGGGAATTAGCGATTACAAGCTTTTGATTAAATGGGCCCCACTATGACTATTGATAAGATTCACACTCATGACTTCTCAGACAAAACATGGATGTGTGTAAAAAAAATATCAAAAAATGACCAGCCTGATTACCGGGAATCCTCGTATTTAAGCCCTTTCGAATTTAAGCCCATGGAGTCACGTCGAATTGGTATACATTATACTGTTTGTCGTTTTTTCCTCTTTTCGAATTTAAGCCCTGGGCTTAATTTCAGAAGAAATGTTTCATCACTGACATGGTCTGACAAATTCGAAGTTAAGCCAAGGGCTTGAATACGAGAATTCCCGGTACGATGATATACGGCCCCATGAACATGTGGTCATAAAAAAACAAAAAAATTACTATAATTACTAAAATGCAAAACACTTTTTAATACATATTTCATTTACAGGATATTTATAAATGGATAACCAAATGATAAAAAATTTCCGTCTAACGTGAAATTAAACAAAAGGGCAAACTTATTATATATCTAATTTAAGAAAAATAAGGCATGTGCCGATAGAAAGTTAAACCAGCGGCTGCCAGGCAGGATACGCCCACATTTTGCAAGAAATGGATAGAGAACAAGCTAAAAACAAAAACGATAATTTTTTTGTACAATCAGGGGCCATAATCCAGAAAGTTATGGTCTGGTCTGAAATACGCAAATACCAAAAGGGGCTGAGCTTTTTGGAATATAAAATCGGATAAAAACTGTGACCTCTAGAGGATCCATAACCTTTGATTACATACTTATACACAATTTGCAAACAAAGAGCGGCCATTTTGTCGGGCAGTTTCATTTCGATTTACCCGATATTCGAATTCAACCTTCATTATGGTGGAATGGTGATATATCTAAACGGTGTTTAAAATCGGAACAAAATTAAGACCTCTAGAGAATCCACAAGCTAAATATGCGATATTTCGACCAATCAGGGACCATAATCCAGGATTTTACGTTCGGATATGTGTGATTATCAAAAGGAACCAAGATCTTATGATAAAAACATACATTTAAAGTTTCATCCAAATCGGATAAAACTGCAATCTGATTAAAATACAGATCTATATTTCGTTTCGTTTTTTTATACTTTCGATGGCCTACACTACATGAAGATCTGACAAGTTATAGCGATAGGTCACGTCAGGGGTCAAAAGACCGACTTCCGATGGCCTAGACTACATGAAGATCTGACCGGTTGTAGCGATAGGTTGCATCAGAGGTCACAAGAGCGGCTTTTGACCCTATGACGTCAGACATTGGATTAACCAATCAGCATTGATGTTACTAGTTTGTTACCCACAGTTCCGTGCAAAACACGCCTAAAGCTCGCCGTAACAGACCGTTTCATTGGCTTATTCCTGACACCATTCAGAACACGAGTTAAATAACAACTATTCCAGATCCAAGTGTAGTAAAGACAAGTAAAACAAAATTTTGAACTATAAAAACGAAACGAAATAGGATCTGTGTTTTAATCAGATTGATAAAACTGTGGCCTCTAGAGGTTCCACAACCTTGACATACCATATTTTACACTATTTGCGTACAAGGGGTGGCCATTATGTCGAAATTCGAACTGAACCACCATTAGTGTATAACTGTGATATATTCACACATTTTTTTTTTTAAATCGGATAAAATGCGTGACCTCTATCGGGACCACAAGCTCAAAACACGATTTTTCGTACAATCAAGGGCCATAATTCCGGAAGTTACTATCCGATATGTGCGAATTTCGACAGGAACCAAGATCGTTGGATTATAAAAACGCTTTTCAAGTTTTATCAAAATCGGATCAAAATTGTGACCTCTAGGAGGCCCACAACCTTGATATAGCAGATGTTTACACTATTTGCGTACAATTGAAGTTACAGAGTGTGTTAGAGGTATGAAATCGGGAATTTCCCCCGGTTCAGATGGAATTGTCATAGAATATATACTATTCAAAAAAAGTAGGGGATATTTGATTTTGGGGGCATAATACTAAAATATGCAAATGACTACGAAAAAAGTCACTATAGAACCTAACAGAAGAAACATTTCCAGTTACATGTGACGCCCAAACGCACCAATAGCTACCGCATGGAATGCAGGTGATGCTTGGGATCATCATGGGGGTCCAACCCAAGATTTGCACGACTCTGACTTTGAATGTTACAGTCATTGTGGCATTGAATTCCAGGGTGGAAACATCAGTTTAATTGTTTTAGTGACCAGAAAACAAATTTTGATATGGGTCGGCTTACCCAAAATGAAAGGTTACGTGCCCTTGGCATGCTACAGATCGGCACAACACAGGCGGTTTTGGCGCGGACGATGAATGTTTCTCAGCCTGTCATAAGCAGGCTATGGTCCAGATACCGTGATACACAATCTGTACAGGACAGACCACGCTCAGGTCGACCAAGGGCGACAACTCAAGCCCAGGATCGATTTATCCGTACCTTGGCCTTGAGAAATCGTGTCATCACAGCAAATCAGATCAGCGCTCGTCTTCAAACAGTGTGAGTGGCCAGACGATTCGGAATCGACTGCATAGGGGTCACCTTCGCGCCCGACGTCCTCGCGTGATCCCTTGTTTGAGAGATCATCACATTCAGGCAAGACGTCGTTGGTGTAGGGATCGTCAACACTGGGATAATCGACGCTGGAGCAATGTGATGTTTTCAGATGAGTCAAGGTTCACTGTTGATTTTTTGGACAGACGTAGGAGGGTGTGGCGTCGTCGAAACGAGCGCTTCCAAGACGTTAACGTCATTAGACATGATCGATTTGGGGGTGGTTCTGTTATGGTGTGGGGAGGCATCACTGTTGCTGGAAGAACGGCTTTACATGTTGTTGCAGGGCGTGTTACAGGCCAGTACTACCGGGACAACATATTGGCAGTCCATGTTGTGCCGTTCGCACGACGTCATGGCCGCCGTTTCATCTTCCAGGATGACAACGCAAGATGTCACGGGGCCAGGATCGTTACAGGTTACCTCCAACAACAGAACATCACCACATTACCTTGGCCAGCACTGAGTCCCGACCTCTCCCCCATCGAGCATGTCTGGGACATGCTTGGACAGAGGTTACGTCAACGTCAACAACGTCCTGCCAATGTCCAAGAACTTGCTGCTGCGTTGCAACAGGAATGGGACAATCTGGACCAAAATGACCTTAGGCGTCTCATTAGGAGTATGCCACGTCGGATCAATGCTTGTTTGGCAAACAGAGGAGGATTTACCCGTTACTGACTTGGTTGTGATGCTGTGGTAACTTTGCTGTTTGACCCCGGGTATCATTTTACCCTTATAATGGTCAGTCTGTGCCTTACTTAGTCTAACGATCATTTGGAATAAATCGATGAATGTTAACTTCATTTCATTTTGTCATTTGTTTCTTCGTCAGTTTCATTAGGTGACTTTAATAACACTTACAAATCAAATATCCCCTACTTTTTTTGAATAGTATATTATAAAGCTTGCACCAAATTTAACGGTTATTTATAATAATATTTTTAATCATGGGGATTTTCCAGATTGCTGGTCGAAAGCTCTTATTGTTCCACTTCATAAAAAAGGTTCAGTTTCGGATTGTCGGAACTATAGAGGGATCTCTCTTCTTGATTGTTTAGGTAAAATATACTGCACTCTACTCCACAATAGGTTACAGAAATGGTCCAAAGGCAAATACTGTAAAGAACAAGCGGGGTACAGAATGGAATATTCCACTATTGACCAAATATTCACCCTACAGGGTCTTGTACAAAAATACATTTCAAAATCCAAAGGTCGCATGTACTGTCTCGATGTGGATATTTCCCGCGCTTTTGATTCCATAAAACGTCTTAAATTATTGGCTTATACTAAACAAAGGTGTATCCGGTAAAATGTTTCAAGATCTAACAAATATGTATTCATTAGTCAATTCTTGTGTTAAAGTGAATTCAAAGCTAACTCTCAACTGTCAATCAGGTGTGCGACAAGGTTGTACTTTTAAGTCCATTACTATTCTGTTCATACATCAACCAGCTTGTAGATTGTATGAGAAGTGGAAATGTACGAGCTATATTCACAAATCAGGATGTAGATGATATTCTTATGCTACTATATGCAGATGATCTGAGCATTGTATCAGATACTTTTCGTGGCCTCCAGTGTAAAATCAACTTATTAGAAATATTTTGTTGTAAATTTAATTTAGAAGTCAATAGAGAGAGAAAGAGAGAGAGAGAGAGATGGGGTTTAACGTCCACTCGACACAAACTGGGTCATTTCGGGACTAACTTATGGTTTATTTTTATGTCAATAATTCGCTTGCGCGTAGGGGTCTTTAGCAGTGGGAGGAAACCAGTCGACCCGGAGAAAACCCACGAGGTTGGACAGGCAACCCTACTCTTTGTCACGTACAACCGGAGATTCGAAACCACGCCAGTTGACTCAATGACAGGCCTATGATACAGCGCGCACGTGCTAACCATTCGGCCATCCAACCCCTTTAGAAGTTAATATATCAAAAACAAAAGTTGTAGTCTTCAGGAACGGGGGTACACTGCGACATAATGAAAGGTTTTACTATTAAGAATACTATAATACTGAATGTGTCACTTATTATAATTATCTTGGTCTACTTTTTTCATCGAGATTGTTTTGGAGTAAAGCAATATATAGTTTCCTTGTCTGTAAAAGCTAAAAAAG